CACGACTCGATCTGCGACGCAATCGCCCAGCACGAGCTAAGCTTGATTGGTCCTACTCTTCTCAAACACCAAAAAGACCTTCCATACACAAGTGCTCCTCGCCCATCCCTGCGAATCTTCAGCAGAGAACGATAATCTTCTGAACTATCAGCCAGAGGGGCCGTCGGAAGAAAGCACGTCTATCACTGTGACTTTACTGCTGCTCTACCTGTGCCATGTTTCCTTCCAGGATCGGTAGTAAGGCGGGCGGAGGAAGCAGCAGCGGTGGAAGTGGAAGCACAGCGGGAAGGAAGTGTCAAAAGTGTCTTCAGCCTGGTCACGGTGAGTCTTTGCTTTGTGTCGTCGTGGTGCGAGGGATCATCCGCGTACATCAGAAGTGCAGGTTCACGGAGCAGAAGTAACACTTTCGCGGTATGCCTCTTCCCCAATGACGCTCTTGACCGTCTCACAGCCACATTCGAATGCAAGAATGCAAGACCTTACATAGCAAGACCTACCAGGTCTCAAGCCTTTCTGGATCCCAAGATTCAAAGGAAGCTCAGAAGCACGGCCGACGTGAAACCCCCTCCAGAAGCAAATCCGTAAGTGGTTTGAAGGATGTCACAATGCTACAGGAATCCCAGAGCTGACTGAATGCGCTCCCTTTCTCTCTCCGCGATGCACATAGCTTGGGCACTGCGGATGCTATTCTGGCCGCAAGAGCCGCAGCTCGTGCGCGTGCTGATCCAGCCAAGGAGCGTCCGACGACCTCTCCACCGCGCAAATCCAGGAGAGCTCGTTCCAGCTCCGTCTCTTCATCAGGTTCATCTTCTCACTCCTCATCCTCATCCAGCTCCTCTGTCTCACGCGATCGATCGAGCAAAAGAAAGTCGCGCAGGAGATCCGCATCTCTATCCAGCCGATCTCGAAATTCAGACTCCAGCGACTCTGATTCGGATTCGGGAAGGCAGCAGTCGAGAAGCAAAAGGCGAAGAAGGAGCTCTTATGAGAGTACGAGCACCTCTGGTCGGGCTCGATCTCGATCTCGCTCAAGATCCGAGTCCGGATCGTTTTCATCAACATCCAGTCGATCTCGCTCAGTCAGTCGCAGTCCCGAAAGAAAAAGAAACGATCGTCGATCGGCGTCTCTGCGATCTGGCAGAGATCGTTCGTACTCCAGATCTCCCTCCGTCGGGCCTAGACGACGCTCGAGAAGCTTTGATAGCGATTCCTCGCGCTCACGCTCATCCAGTCGAAGTGCTCCACCTGATCGCAAACATCATCGCAGAGGCTCGACGGCTTCTGCGTCCACTAGAGACCCTCGCTCGCCCTCTCCATGAAATGTGAAGGTGAAGGCTGATTCGCCTTCAACATATGCCAAATTGACTTTTGCTGCACATTCGGCACACCAAAGAATAGGGGGACGTGATTGCGAAGGCACCTCGCAGCCAAATCTGATGTGCACGCGTGCTACCAACCAAAGCGAGCCGTCCAAGCTTCGATGATCTGCAAGATCGTTCTTCATTCATTACTCGTCCATCAGTAGCAAGATACACTCATCGAGCTGATCGTTTGACCCATCAAGCTCGCTAATGTCCATCGCAACCTCCTCGCTTTCGCATTCCCCATCTTCTGTACTTCCCTCGCACCGAGGATCCTGAAGGTGTAATTCATGCGCATCGTAGTCGATGTCGTCATCGTCAGCATAGATGTGCAAGATGGTGTCTTCAACCTCCGCCTGTTCGCCATGTGTCAAATTTATCTCCCATGCCGAATCCACGGCTGGTGGATAGCACTGACTGAGCTGGTCTTCGTCAAGCTCGATCTCCACAAGAAGCACAGTGTCCTCCTCAGCGTCAGCCTCAGCTTCGGACGAAGCTACAAGTTGGCCTGAGGCATGCGCTGCTGCGCAAGGCAGCGATACGTTTGTATGCGTCTGCCTGAAAGTCAAATCTAAATTTCCGTTGGTGCGCGTCCCTGTGAAGGTTGCGCCATCGCGATTGTTGATCCTGGTTTCGGGTTCCCGTCCTCGACGTCGTGGTGGCAGGAGCTCCAATTTATCTGGCAAGGCATCTGCATCTGCATCTTGCGAGCTACGCTGTGTCTGTCGAACTCGAACGGGCTCGTCTGGGACGGTATTTTGATGTGAGGGCGCCTGTTCTGAGTGCAGGTCATCGACGATATCTCCTCCGTCCTGTTCCTGATCTTGCGCGACGGGGGGTGACGAGCGCGCTGATGGTTCGCTGCCAAGTCTCGGGCGGCGCAAACGAAGCTTGAAAGGAGGTATGCGGGTTGATCTGCCAGCATCAATTCTCACACGTACCACGTGGGGCAGATGCAGGACCGCCTACTCACGTTGAAAGAGCTTGGCGGAAAGGCTTGATGATCTCTCTTACGCAAAGCTGCCAACAGACCATTGCGAGTGGCAGCTGCCGAGTTACGGCGAGGTATGACTGCAAGCGCCATGCTGGGAGGAGCTCTGGAACGGGTGAGTGGCGTAGCT